TGAGTGAGGAGACACAAAACCTTTTATCGGTAAATATCTATAAACCGTGTTGTATTAGCTTTATTATCTATTCCACTTTAGTTTAAAGTTCAATTATACTTTTTGTCTTTTCCTAGTGCTACACGTAAGAGACATTCTTGACCTTAGAACTGAAACGAGTACGACCAAAAAACCAAGCTAAAATCTAGAAAGAAGAAAAAACACCAAAAAGTTAAAAAGTTGTTTGGATAACAGAAAAACGAAACATAAAGTTTGTAAGTTCTTTCAGAACTCATAAAAAAGACAAGGGAAGAGTTCAGAGGCTGTAGTAAAAAAAAAAAAAAAAAAAAAAGGAGAAAAAACTCAGTATTTCAGCTACAACGAAATCACCCATTAAAGAAAAGCTATATTTAATAAATTTTCAATTGGTGTAAATTTATATAATCTACACTAAAAGTTGATTTGTCGGATTCTGATAAGACCTAGGACAAAAACTGAGAGAAAATTACAATAAGTAAGACAAAACTAAATCCAAAAAGGCTGATCATTGAAGATCTATCCCTCTATCATAAAAGTTAGAAAGATGAATTCCAATTATCATCTATAATAGAAGTGAAGAAAAACTGAAAAATATCAATATTCATCTAATCAATGAAGTGTACAGAGAATGAATTCACAATTACATACACTTCATTGAAGTTCAGTAAGAAACATAAAAAAATACAATTTCAAAATCTTCATAGAAGTGTAGACAACATGAAAAATTACAATATTCATACATTCAAGAGTCGATAAAGAACAATGAAATTAACAATTACAATAACTATCATGAAAAAGGTGAATAAGAAACAATAGCAATTCAATTATACAATACAATATCATTAAGTGTAGAACATGAATATCAATTATCATCATTCATAGGCAAAACAAAACAAAAAAAAAATCGACACAAACTTATAGAGACAAAATAGAGTTACCAATTACAAACAATAAAGTTCAAAATGACATATATACAAACAAAAATTAACAAAATAAAATAATCCAATCACATCATAAACCGTAAGAAATATTTTTAATAGCAATTAATCAATAGAGTTATTACATTATTCATGAATAAACGTACATAGGCATGTAAAAAAATAAAAGTACTTAATATAATAATAATAAAAAATAAAATAATAAAATTAACAAAAAAGGTAGACAACCAAATAACATAAAACGTAAATTTCACAAAATAGAGATCGACCATTATAACCACGTCGAAATCAAAAATATATTAGAACATATAAAGACGTCCACAATACAAGAACACTTAAAGTGAAGGTACCACCAAACTGATTTCCAGAATAAATGCTCAACTAACTATAAGTGTAGTAAGGTATACGAAGGCTTTCAGACATTTGACTTGATTTTGAAATGTTACCTTTATGTACCACCTCATTTCATGTCCTAACGTGGATCCTTTTCTGTTTTCATATTAACTTGAGTTTGATTCACTTATCTATTATTTTCGATTATGTTGTGCCAAATGTCTAATAAATAAATACATTATTGAGAACATTTTTTTTATATTAGTGCACAATAAGATGCAAAAAGATACCCCGGATCCCCCAAAAAAGAAATGTAACAGTACGTTTTTTTATAAACTCACCAGTAGAAATATCATTCTTAAACAAAAACTAAACCTTAATTTAAAAAGTACTATCACTGGAATGTTGGACATGTGTTTATCTCATGGGTATGAACAAGACATGTGACACCTCCAGTTGTCTCTACACTATGACTGGATTTTATTCCATCATCGGGTCATTTTTGGATTGGAAATATGGAAGAGGCAAAAAGAGATGAGTTCTGACAGCTGCCAAATTAAAATGGCCAGAATGCATGTTCTGCCAAACACCACCCCAATTAAAAGTATCACATATTTCAATTATCTTGGGTTCAAGCTTCTCGTTTCCGAGTGGGCTGTGTAATGTCCATATGACTTAATGAGGTTTCATTAAATATCATCATAGGAAATGTGGAGAAATTACTTTTTCTATGAGCTTTGTACAGAAAGCAGGGATAACGTTAAGATACAGTGTGTTTAAAGGAGAGATTCAGGCCTCAATCAGCTGAAAACAACACATTTAAAGAGCTTAATGTTAAACAAATAAGCAATTATTTTATTAAAGTAAGAGTTTATATTCAATTTACAAATTCTTACACTGTTATAAACCATGGCTGCTCAATAACAAGTTACTTTACAAATACTTATTTTATTGTTATTTCTTGAAGTTACTACTCAGTTCTGCTTATGAAGCTTAACCTACCATGACCATATTCTGCAAAGTATTTGAGGCAGTGACGTGTATTACTTGTCTTACGTCCCTTAAAACCTGGCATTTAATTTAAAGCACTGTTTTTTTACAACTTGTGTATTTAGCATCACATCTTTCTTTAAGAAAATGCAGCACAATGTCAGATAGGTTGGGGTTATTGTAACACTGAGGGAGATGTATGTAAATGTCCCTATGGAAAACTAAATGTTTCTTTTTTTGGCAATAATATGATATTTTCAAATGGAGTTTGTCATGTTGCCATTGTTTCCTCACACGAGGACATGGGAAAACTTGATTTTGTGTTTCTGTGGTGCAACACGTATAATCACAGGACAACTGTGATTATACAGTCAGAGCAGCACATCTGTGTAAGTCTGCGGTCAGCAAGTTTTCATTCAGACATGAAGAAAAACATTAGCTTCTCTCTTAGTGTCATGGGAATCACAATCAAATTCCAATGAATCCACTTACCTGTAAATAAGAATGACATTTCCTATCACTGTGTTCAACACAAATGCAGAGGCCAGTGTTAACTGATGAGCAGTTGCTTTCTAGATAGTTCAACAGTAAGAAAGAGAGAAGCGCTGTTTAAAAGTGCCCTTACTGCCCCCTCTGGCCAAAAACAGGATGTAAATTGCTTAAATTCTTTCTCTAGAGAGACATCGTTTATATGAGAGACAGGGCTATACATTATAAATCCAGGCTGACACGGAAACAACTGACAACCGCAAGATATGTGCACTATGCAGGCCTTTGTGATAGAAAACAGCAGGTGCGAATGCAGTAGCATTTGTTTGCACCTGCTCCCAGATAGTTTACTCTATAGGAATGATAAACACAGCTTGGACTGTAAACAGTTTGTGCATTCTCCTGTGATAAACACCTTTCTTTTGAAATAAAATGGTGTCTTGAATCTAATACAAGGGAAATATATGTTCACCTTATCTTCGATCTGGACGCATGCTGCTGCAGGTAGGTCAGACAAGTGAACTGACAGAAGTGTTTGACAGAGGTCGTGCGTGTGTGTTAGCGTGGGATGTACCTGGATGCCGGAGGTGGTGAAGTATGGGATCTCAAACTTGACACTAATTGGTGGCTTCCCCTCCTTGTCTTCAGCCTCTACGCTCGGCAGACCAAAGTGGGCTCGCATCAAATACTCCTTTCCACCCTGTGAGAAAACAAAGCAGAAACTATCAAACAACACTCTGGAAACCTCTTGTGTTTAACACTAAAAAGGAGTGACTTTATATAAACATGAACTGTAGAAAATCTGACATTTCTCTCCACCATGAAGTCACGAAAACAACCAAACTGCAAACTAAGTTCTTACGGTATTGCATAAAAACCCAGACATAACATCAGAGTCATTTTTAACCCTCTGTATGATACTGATGAGTCATGATTTCAGCTCACAGGGAAGGACTTGATTGACCAGACGATCTCGCTGTTCTCAGGCACCCATTTCACGCTGCCCACTGTGGTCTTGAATTTGGGTGAGTCAGCGTCCGTTGGCACAGGAATGTGGATCTCCACGTTGTTGGCCGTGGAACGCCTCTTGAACTGACTCTTCGCCTGAGCGGAGAAACAAGAAAGTCAAGTTTAACACGGTGCCCTGCCTGAACAGGGCTTTAATTATATAAATTATAGTATTAAATGTGTACATGTACAAACATGCCTTGACCCAGTGTGAACTGCATTACTGCCAAATAACTATCTTTCTCTCCAAATAATTATAGCACAAAGGTTTGACAACAATAAAGATGTTGCTATAAATGACATGAGTGCAAAAGTGACCTGCCTTGATCATGTACTCGATACGACTGTGGGAGTGCTTCTCAATGACGGACTCAATCCAGATCAAAGGCTTCACCTGAAGATATAAAACACACGTGTTATCAAAAATAGTTTTAAGACGCTTTAGTACAGTCAACATGCATGCATTTTCAAATATCATGTGACACTGTCACCACCTGGTGGAGAGCAGACGTTACTACAACCAAATCAGGGTTTTTAAACGAGATAGATTTAAGACCTTTTTTAAACTTAAAGGTCCCATGTCATGCTTTTCCGGTTATTACCCGTCCCCTTGTGTGTTATGAAGGTTTTTCTGCATGTAAACGGTCTGCAGAGTCACAAACCCTCAACGTACACCCTGTAGCGAGTACAACTCTAACACAGAAAAGACCTGTCTATGCTGCCCCAGAACGCCTCGTTGGAGATTTCTCTTTTTCTTCCTGGGTACAGTGACGTGACCTTGGTCAAAATGGACCAATCCATGGCGTCTCTCTCTCTCTCTCTCTCTCTCTCTCTCTCTCTCTCTCTCTCAGCGACGAAACTGTGACGTGCTACTCTCTCTCTCTCTCTTTCCTCTCTCCTCTCTTCTCTCTCCTCTTGCCTCTAAATCTCTGCTCTCTCTCTCTCCTCTCTCTCGCTCTCTCTCCTCCCTATCTCTCTCTCTCTCTCCTCCTCTCTAATGCAGGCAACCAGGAATGAACCCAGCTCACACTGCCGCAGGGCAAGCGAGGCAGCGGCAAAGTCCCGCCCGACGCCGCAGCCCAGCATTCTCAATCTGTTTGTCATTAGCTGGTGTCATCTTTATGGTTGCTAACGCCATTGTACAACATAAACACTGATGTTTGCTGTAACGGTGGTGAACTCATCAGAAACAGAGTGTGCGAGCTGACCATCAGAAGCACCACTGGGCTCAGCAGGGAGGGGAAGTGTGCAGGGCTGCCAACAGCCGNGGAAGTTGTTGTTGCTATGGAAACAACGTGACGGAGATTAACGGAGAAAAGTATCTACATATAAAGACGGAGAAAGTAAACGATAACGTTTATGGTTAAGTGTTAGCACCCCCCGAAGAGGCACAAGCTCTTACGTTGATATTGGAGATTTCAATAAATTCAATTTGAAAAAAAAACGGGAAAAAAACGAATATCCGGATAACGAAATTGAAACCCGAATAGTACTCCAACGAACAAATATTCGGATATTCAGGTACAGCCCTAATGCTAATGTAAACACCGACCATATTACGTCCAAAACAGTCTGGCATTGTTTCTGATAGCAACGTTTCTGATAGGGCTGTGGGTCCACATTTCCGATATTACGTCATATCGGACGCACATCTGGATCAGCTCCGTTGTACCCCCGTTTTTAGAGATTTGGTACGGAGGAAAAGAGAGAGGGTTTTATTTGACATGGTAGGTCCCCTTTAACCCAGATTATAAACACAAGTGTAAATATCCAATTTAATATAATATTGAATCCGCACTAGGAGCAGCTTTAGGGATACTATTTACAATTTCCAAAAATATGTTGTCAATTATATTTGGATTTATCAAATAATTGTTTATTCTATCAAATCTTTGGAAATAGCAAAACATATCCAAAACACGTTTACAATATTAAAAGTATCTATTGTGTTTTTCAAGTGAAGCTTTTTACACTTCTGCCGTCATATTTTATAACCTTATCATCCTAAGAGAAATGCTAATCCTCCAACGATTTGAATAAAGTGATTCATTAAATAAAGATGTAATTGATATAACGTGTTGTGCGTGACAAGCAGGAGAGCAAACGCCGGACAGACAGACATTTATTTTAGAAAGGATTAATGTCAAAAACTATTGATGGACTTTACAACGGATACAAAAGTGAAAAAGGAAGTGTATGAATACAGAGAAAGCTGATGGCACCTGTGTGTGAGTTTCTTCCCCCTCAGAGGGGCCAGATGAGGGGGTGGGGTGTGGAGAGGGAGGAGCCTCACTGATTGGCTGCTCCCGTTGCATCCGTTCCACCAGCTCCTTCAGCTCGTCCATATGCAGCCCACACTGAAAGACCAGCCCCTCCAGCTCCCTGGCACACACACCGTAAACACCAGTGAGCGCACAGAGGTATGGAAGACACATTTCACCTGTGATGCTTTTATCTTCTGCTCTCACCGGTCACGGTCAAAGAAGCTGTTTTCTGCTCCTCGCTGCTGCAGGAGTTTGCAGTCATCCCTGGCTAACAGGTATCCCCTTTCCAAAGAGTCAAGCCCCTCAGCGAGCTGCGAGACCCCCTGGAGAAGAGCTTCATTAGAGGAGGGGGCTTTAAGAGGACATTCTTCCAAACGGTTTAAACTGTTAAAGTTCCTACCTTCTTCTGATCCAGAGGTTTGAGTCTTTTGCTCTTCAGGAGATGCTCAAAAGTCTGCATCTGAGTAGAAACGTTCATATTTTCATCTCATCATCGAAGCTCTAGCGTCACTGTTGATAGTTTGGAAGGATCTCGTACCTGCTGGAGGAACTTGTCGGCCTGATAGAAGAGAATGCCGGCCAGCTGCTGTCCCACCTCAGGGTCTGGGCTTTCTGTGGAAGAACAGGCCGATGGACTTCCTGCTGACACACAGGTGCAGAGGGAAAATGTAAACAGTGGTGGAAGAGGTACTCAGATGTTGTACCTAAGTTAAATACCTACACTAAATTGTTAAAATACTCTGTTACAAGTTATAGTCCTGGATTCAAAATCAGACTTAAATAAATGTACAAAAGTATCGGCATCAAAATATACTTAAGTACCAAAAGCAGGAAACATGTCTATTAAATTATGATTATTTATGCATTATTGTGTTCAAACAGCTGGTAAAGATGGAGCCTATCCAAATAACTGTGTGTGCTGCTGGATTTATTAACCGTTACTTGAATTCAAAGTGTATTTATTCGTTGATTTATATTTTGTTTTAGCTAATATTCTGTAATGTAACGAGTAACTAAACACGTCAAGTTTTGACAAAGAGTTGAGTAAAAACTACAACATTGGCTTCCAAAGTGGAAGTATACAATACGGAAATATCTCATCGTACGGAAATACATCAGTAGAGGTGTGACTCAGGTGGAAGCTGAATCATCCATTTTTATGATAAACGATATACGAAATGAAATGGAATAAGATTGTTGTACTCTGTTGTCCATTTGGATGGGGAGAGGCGGAGCTTATCTCTGCCCTCTGAGCCCGAGGGAAGTCCAGCACCATCATCTTTGAGGAGCCTTGGTTCGGTCCGGACTGAACCAAGTGGCCGGGCTTTGGGGGGTCGGAGAACAGGTTCACCTGGTGGAGAAGTAAAACAAGTCTAGAGGTATATTGGTACATCTTTTACCCTCCATAGAGGAAACATTTGAAGACTTCCCTATTTGTAGACCAAGTGTAGCGATCAGATGGTAAGCACAGTGCCAACAAGCATATATTATAGCAAGGCAAAATGTCCGGGGCACAAAGCTCTATTCACAAGGAGCTCTAACCCACGAGTGATCAACATAACCCTTTGTTGATTTAGGGAGGAGGGGCTTTCTCTAAATGTCTGTTTTACAAGCCAACTCATTATGCTTTAACACACATAACGGAATTGAATGGAACTCACAATGAATAGACGCCCCTCCCCTCTGAGCAATAAATCATGATGACCTCAAACCGACCTCAACATTCCCTTTAAAACAAGATTCATGTAAAGTTTCTTGTAAACAGCATTGACATTAAAAGATGTACAAAACCAGAACAAAATCTGAATAGATGTCGGTACAAAGCCACCCCTCGATAAAGCCTGTGACATGTTATACTAGCAGAGGNTACTGGCCACTTAAACAAGCCCCGCCCCCCCACTAACACTTTACCTCAGCCACAACGTAGACTCTATACGCATTACATTAATGCACACAATGTTCAAATACTACTTACTGCACATATTTCATATTCTATAGTTCACTGCATTCTATTTCGCTTTAAATTACTGCTTTATTTTATTGCTATCCAACTATATTTTATTACAGTGTTCTTAAAGATTTTTTGTTTTATATGGAGATGTTTTGTTTTATATTTTATGTATGCACCATGACATCAAGTCAAATTTCTCGTATGTGTGAACCTACCTGGCAATAAACCCGTTTCTGATTCTGATTCTGATAATACCACAGCTGACCCCCTCCGCCATTACTACAGTCTGAGAAAAGCTGTCTGGAAAAAAAGCTGATTTATTTTTTGTCTTCTTCTGATGTTTCCCGAATACATTTTGGCCAAAGCTTCTTTAACTTTGATAACTAATCAGACATGCATTTGGACT